GCTTTAGTAGTTTGGCTTTAGGCCTTATACAAAGGTGTTGGATTGACCTCCCCAATAATGGGACAAGTGTGGGCCCAGTCCAGATCATTATTATTATTATTATTATTATTATTATTATTATTATTATTATTATTATTATTATTTTTATTATTTTTATTATTATTATTATTATTACCATTATTAGTATTATTATCATTATTATTATTATCATCATTATCATTATTACCATTATTACCATTATTATTATTATTATTATTATTATTATTATTATTATTATTATTATTATTATTATTACCATTATTATTATTATTATCATTATTATTATCATTATTACTATTATTATTACCATTATTAAAATTATCATTATTATCATTATTATTATTACCATTATTATTATTATCATTATTATTATTACCATTATTATTATTATTATTATTATTATTATTATTATTATTATTATTATTATTATTATTACAATTTTATTATTATCGTTATTCTTATTATTATTATTACTATTATTATTATTACCATTATTATTATCATTTTTATTATTACTATTATTATTATTATAATTAATATTATTACTATTATTATTACTATTAATATTATGGTTATTAATATTATTAACATTATTATTGTTACCATTATTATTATTATTATTATTATTATTATTACCATTATTATTATTATTATTATTTTATTTTATTTTTTGGAATAAGGACTTGAATTATACCAAAAAGCAAAAGAAATACACGGCGATCGCAAGGATTCAGCCAACCAAAGAACCTAAGGCAACATTAACCCGAAAATCCTATCTTTTAAGATTTTACAATGCCAACCCCTAAAAACAATAGTATCGATAATAGTTTTGGTCACATGACACAAATCCAAACCAGACCCAAAACAAATGCTATTACGATATAACTAAACCCCGTAGATTATTTCAGCAATGACAAGTTTAATCAAACAGGGTCTCCAACCTTTGTCTTTCCCCCACTTGATGGCCCACTGAAGTTCCTCCTCCCAAGCTTTAGGCATATGATATTGCATTTTAAGCCAAGCAAGAACTTCACACCAAATCCGCCTAGTAACATCACAATAAATAAAAAGATGAGAAGTAGTTTCAATACTAGGACATAAACAACACCTACTGTCCGTGATGAAGCCAAAACGGCATAACCGACTTTTGGTAGCTAGTTTATTGTGGCACACCAACCATAAAATTATTTTAGCTTTAGGCCTGGCCGGGTTGTTCTGAAACAGCTTAGCCCATGGAATCTGAGGTTTATCAACTATTTCCAGATAACAGCCCTGCATGCTAAAGGCACCCTTGGAGATTAACACATGCCAAAAATGGGGATGAGAAAGAATGAAGGTCCTTTGATCCAAGACTTTCCGCATAATCCACGAGCTAGAAGCTTTAACTTTGGCCTCCATTATGTTACAATCCTTCAAATAGTAAGCATGAACCCACTTCAACCAAAGGCTGTCAGATTTAGCGCATATGTTCCACAGCAGTTTCAGCATAGCACACTTGTTCCAGATGCAAAGATCAATGATCCCCAAACCACCATACTTGGCAGGTTTACAGACTGTAGTCCAAGCAACCAAACTTCTGCTATTCACAGTATTAGTACCAGACCAAACAAAAGACCGACACAAACAATTAATCTTTTTTAGGATAGCTTTAGGAAGGGGAAGAACCATAATCCATAAATTAGCAATAGCAAAAGATATAGATTTTACCAATTGTACACGCCCAACATAGCTAAGTAGTCTAGCAGACCAATGATTCATTCTGGCCATAATCTTATCCACCAAAGGCAAGTAATGGTTGCAACTCAGCTTCTTGGAGGTTAGAGGAATGCCCAGATAACGAAATGGAAGAGAGCCCTCCTTGAACTTAGCCCACATTAAAATCTGATTCTTGGTGCTAGAATCTACAGAACCAAAATAAATTTTACTCTTGCCAATATTGACCACCATACTTGTAGAATTACAAAAAGTAGTGAAGGAATTAAGAAGAAGCTCAACAGAGATTATGTCCCCTCTAGCAAACAGTAAAACATCATCCGTAAACATGAGATTAGTCAACTGAAGTTTCTCGCATTTAGAGTGATGGTTGAAGTTTGGATTGATCTGCATAAGAGCCAAGCATCTATGGAGAAATGGGGAAATGGGGTCCCCTTGGCGTATTCCACGCTTAGCCACCAGTAACTTAGTAGTATAGCCATTCACAAAGAATCTATAAGATGTGTTAGAAACAGCTTCCATAATCCACTGAATGAAAATATTTGGAATACCAAGTTCCTGCATAATCAGCTCCAGAGCTTTCCAACTTACCATGTCGTACGCTTTTTGCATATCCAGCTGAAGCATAACACGAGGAGGGTCATTCTTCCTATTATACCCCTTTATAAGTTCATAAGCAAGAAGAATATGGTGATGGATCTGTTGCCCAGGAATGAAAGCAGCCTGATTTGGATTGATTATACTACCCATCACTCTGCTTAGTCTTTTGGTCATGATTCTGGAAATGATTTTATAGATGACAGTGCACACAGAGATGGGTCTGTAATCCTTAATAGAGGAGGCAGACTCTGATTTGGGGATAAGCGAAACAAGATTACAGTTGAAGGCTTTATAGAGCTTGCCTTTATCAAAGAAGTCCTTAACAGTAGCTATGACTTCACCTTTAACAGTATCCCAACTGGCCTTGAAATTTTTTGCAGAATAACCATCTAATCCAAGAGCAGCCAAATCGTTGATTCCTTTCAGTGCAACATAGACCTCATCATTGGAAATTGGAGCCACCAAAGTTTCTCTCTGAGCTTGCTGCAGCTGAGGACCCTGCCTCATAGCCCTAATATCAATAAAAATCCAAATTGTCATCACTCTTCCCCATGAGAGAACCATAGAACTTCAGGATTTCCTGTTCAATCAGATTTTGAGAAGTTATAGTAGAGCCATCATCCATCTGCAGCAAGTTCATAGCTTTACTAGCTTTCTTAGATTTAATAGAAGTATGGAAGAAGGCAGTGCAACCATCTCCATCCTTAAGCCATTGGATTTTGCCTAAGGATGACTTCCTCAATATCATTCCACTTCAATAAATTCTCAGTACAACTCTTAACCCTCCTGATCTTCTCAGCATTCATAAGGTCATTTGCTAACTCTTCCTGAACATTAGACAGGGAATCCCTAGCTACAGCAATGTGATTATCATTAGACAGGGAATACCACTATTATTATTATTATTATTATTATTATTATTATTATTATTATTATTATTATTATTATTATTATTATTATTATTATTATTATTATTATTATTATTATTACCATTATTATTATTATTATTATTATTATTATTACCATTATTATTACTATTATCATTATTATTATTATTAATATTATTATTATTTTTACCTTTACCATTATTATTATTATTATTATTATTATTATTATTATTATTATTATTATTATTATTATTATTATTATTATTATTATTATTATTATTATTACCATTATTATTATTATTATTATTATTATTATTATTATTATTATTATTATTATTATTACGATTACCATTATTATTATCATTATTATTATTATTATCATTATTATTATTATTATTATTATCATTATTATTATTATTATCATTATCATTATTATTATTATTATTATTATTATTATTATTATTATTATTATTATTATTATTATTACAATTATTATTATTATTATTATTATTTTATTATTTATATTATTACAATTATTATTATTACTATTATTATTATTATTACCATTATTATTATTATTATTATTATTATTATTATTATTATTATTATTATTTTTATTATAAAATATCACTTTCCTTGAGTAAACTAAAATGTATACCAATTTTAATTTTTCAAGTTCTAACCAATCTGTCATTCCAAATCTAGCTAAAATATTAATCGAAGTAAATATGCATACACCATATCTAGCTACCATTAATATGCATTCCATCACTCGCCCATTCTTTAGAAGCTCGTTAAATTCCGTACATGGAAGCATGTGAGTAGTTAAGAACAGACAAAATATACATATATCTGTCCCACTTTACTTCAATGCACGAATGCTATTAGTTTTGGAAATGCACGAAGTTTCTAACAAGCTCTTTCCTAGAAGCTACTACCTTTATATGACTTGACCGCGAATTATGTCACATAAGAGAAAAGTAGATTCAAAATTGATACATGAGTTGGAAACCACTTACTTTAAAATTGACACTAAACACAAGAATTTTTTTTTAAAGATAGAAACTCTATTTTTTGATATTAGTCTCAGGGGTCTTCGGGTGTGTTTGAATTGGCGGTTGATATAATTTATTTTAATAGAATTGAATTTGATAAATATGATTTTAATAAAATTGAGTTTAATAGAATTAATTTATATTTGAGTACATTTATGTAAAAGTGAATTAAACAATAAAATGTAAAAATCATCTATAATCAATTCTATAAATAGAAATTACAAATTTTAATTTAAAGTAGAATCAATTCAGAAGACAGAATCAATTCTATTTTTCTCTAATGAAATTATACTAAATTTTAATGTACAGTTTCAAAGTTTTAAAAAAAGAATTCAAAGTTTTGGAATATTTATCCTTCTTTTTCATGTGATGAAATCATTTTAACAACTTGATTATGGCTTATCACCAATTAAAAAAAGAATAGCAACAAGATGGAAGGTGGCAGCTTGTGCTATTTTGGTCAAATTTTCAAGAGAAATCAGCTACCAAGTGGGTCCATAAATTACACCAAGTGGCTTAACAATTCAATTACGGAACTAAAAGTAATTAAAATATATTCATGCAAATATAAACAAAGTTTTATTTTTTACAAGTTGGTCCTCATGTATATGTCTATAAATACCATGCTGCTAAACTCTAACATGCATAAAGCAAAAGAGCCAAAAGAAGATAGAAACTAGAAAAAGAGTTACTTTGAGTTTAAGAGATGATGAATTTCCCAATTATCAGCTTGGAGAGAATCAATGGTGAAGAGAGGAAAGAGACCATGGAAAAAATAAAAGATGCTTGTGAGCATTGGGGATTCTTTGAGGTACTATATTAACACAAAACTTTTTTTTTAATAAATTAGATATCTTTTACGCGCAATTGCAGAGGCTATAACATATTTTTTACGATACATTTGTTAGTTCACATTACTTTCTTTATATAACTCTTCTTATTTCTTTGCTTTCAAAACTATAGTTAGTGAATCATGGCATACCTCATGACCTAATGGACACATTGGAGAGGTTGACAAAAGAGCACTATAGGACATGCATGGAGCAGAGATTCAAGGAATTTGTATCAAGCAAAGGCCTAGATGCTGTCAAAAATAAGGTTAAGGATGTGGATTGGGAGAGCACCTACCACGTTCGCCACCTTCCGGAATCAAACATTTCAGAGATCCCTGATCTCAGTGATGAATACAGGTTACACAAGACAAACATTGTCACTTCATACATTGCATGACATATAAAATATTTTGCACCAAATCACAAATTATTGACACAATTTAGTTGCATAAATGGATATAAAGAGAGTTTTCATACATATAGTATAAGAAGTTAAGTTTGGGCATATTGCTCCATATATGATATTTGTAGCTATATACTACTCTGGTCACTATTATAAACAAGTATGTGATTTATATATAGACCAGATACATAATTTATTCAGTGAATCAGAAAATAAATTTGTTGTTTATAATATGGACCAAAGGGTGATATATGTTTCTTTGGCAGGATTCTAAATTTATGTTAATTATGATGTAGGAAGGTGATGAAGGAATTTGCTTTAAGGTTAGAGAAACTAGCAGAAGAGCTTTTGGACTTGTTATGCGAGAATCTAGGACTAGAGAAAGGGTACCTCAAAAAGGCTTTCTATGGATCAAAAGGACCAAGTTTTGGAACAAAGATAGCCAACTATCCTCAGTGTCCCAATCCAGAGCTGGTGAAGGGTCTTCGCGCTCACACTGATGCTGGTGGGATCATCCTTCTCTTCCAGGATGACAAAGTCAGTGGCCTACAGCTTCTCAAAGACGGCGAGTGGGTTGATGTTCCCCCAATGCGCCACTCCATTGTAGTCAACCTCGGGGATCAGCTTGAGGTAAATCCATTTCCTTCGCCAAGTTAACTGATTTCAATTCCCAAACTTAACAAAAAAAATCCGTTTTGAATATTTTTGATCCTCTGTAGTATTGTTACTGCAGAACTCTGCACTTAGAGCTCTGCAGTGTTATCACTGCAGAGGATCCATACACACATAAGTTATGTACTAATGTGACAAAAATTAATTAGATATTAAACCCTCTTTTTTTCAAACAGGTTATAACAAATGGTAAGTACAAGAGTGTGGAGCACCGTGTGATAACACAAACTAATGGAACAAGAATGTCCATAGCCTCATTCTACAACCCTGGCTTTGATGCTGTAATCTACCCTGCTCCAAAATTGTTGGAAAAAGAAACAGAAGAAAAAAATAACTTGTACCCAAAATTTGTGTTTGAAGAATACATGAAGATTTATGCTGGTTTGAAATTCCATGCTAAGGAACCAAGATTTGAAGCCTTGAAAGGATCAAATGAAAATTTGGGTCCAATTGCAATTATTTAAAACTTAAACAAATAAAATAAATATAGGCAGATATTTGAGAAACAAACGATTATTGATTATCAATAATATATTATATTTGGTATAGATTTTTTGAAGTGATTCATTGTATTATCTTCATGTAATCATTTACTATTTTACTATTTTGTTTATGCTTGAATTTGGTATAAGTGAACCAGTAATGATGAATGATAACACTTATAGTACTGTGATGTTAGAGGAAGAAGCATTATTTATGTAGGTCCAAGGATGTTGAAATAATTAACTAAATGAAAATAAAAATATTCCATGCCTATAAAGTAGGAACCAAAGTTTGGTGGGAATCTACTAAGGTATAAAGGGAGAAAATGTGTACAGATTACGTGACAAACCCTTGAGTGAAAGCACTCATTTTCAAAAAATTAATTTATCAAGAGTGTGACAGTTATGTAAGTTATTATGTTAGTGCCTTTCATTTTATTGCCCTTGTTCCGATTTTAACTGTGCGACTAGTTTTTCAGGCTTTTACCGTTATTACCATCATGGTTCTTGCATCATTACATTCATTCATTGTCATGTTATTTTGTCTTAGTTTCAGATGCATAACTTCATATCCTAAATATGTTGCATGATTTAGTGCTAAGTCAGTTTCTTGTCCTAAACTCGAGTCAATCTCCTTGTCGGATGATCTTGCACACACCATATAATGGCAAGCTAGTCAATATCTTTTGATGTTAGAATCACCCCGCTTATGTCAATTTAAGTACTCTCAGAAGTTTCAGAGTGCTCTAAAATTAATGGATTGGACCATATTGATGCAGAGTGGGTTTGGGAAATTATGAATATATCGATTCACAGTCTCTCAAGAATGAAGCATGTAAGGCGAAGTAGTTAACTAAAATATATGATGATTCACAGTGCCTCAAGCATGAAGGGACGGAGTTAATTATTAAAATATATGAGGGTTCACAATGCCTCAAACATGAACCATGTAGAGGCTAAGTGAACTACTAAACTATATGATAGTTTATAGTTCCTCAAACATGAGGCGTGTAAGAATTAAATGATTAACTAAAATATATAATGGTTCACAATTTCTCAAATATGAGGCCTATAAGGGGTAAGTGATTGTGATAGAGAGTTTCAAAGATCATTGGTATTATGAGTTTAAGTATATGTTTATTCTAAACAGTTTTTTTCAAGAAAGGTTGTTCAATTTATTGAGTGGATAAATTTTAAAAATCCTTTAAACTTCATTTTAAAATTTTTGATGATTAAGTTTATCTTAGAAACGACCATTAAATATGGGTCATCAGTTGATTTGCATGCATGTGACTTAATACTTTGTCATGCCAATGATGCCTATTAGGCTATAGGAGTGTACTTATGATTATAAATATCAAAATGTTTTTTTCCTTTTTCTTCATTCACTCGTCCCATAATAGTTTCTCTTTACAAATACTACCTCTTGTTGTTTCGTTTCCTTTTTGCACACTCAATTTCTTTCATCACTTTATAGGATGGTGTTTATTAGGGATTGTGATGCTCATGGTAATGTAGTTAAGCCAAATACCCACAATAAAGTAAATGGGAACTTTGTCAAAATGGAGTTGTTCAGGAGTTACAATAATATTTCTAATAGATGGACATATAGATAATGACATTGTTTTGGTTTCTTCTTATGCAGGATTGGCAAGACATTTTCTGAAGAGTTTGGATGGAAGCATGGTCGCTTTTGTAAAGAGGTGGTAAGTTTTAAATCATTGTATAACAATGATGCCCTGGTAAAATCTTTTCACCAGGGCCTATACATATCAAATTCTGGAGATAAAGACAATATCTTATTGGAGCTTTGCATAGAAGTCAAAATATCATGTATGATGCATCCTCAAGGAGAAAAATATGAGTTTTTTTTGTTTTTACACGGGCGACAAGGCCAATTTTAGGGTAGGTATTCCTTTTACCGTGATCAAGGCTAAGGTATTAAAGGTTATCACATTCGTTTTTTTTAGCTACATCCAAAACGTTTGGATTTTTGTGAAAGGATTTGAGATACTATGTGGGGCTCTAGGAATTATACTCAATGTAGTTATATTATTTTCTTTTTATGTGACAAAATGTGTCAAAAAATTTAATTGGGTTTTAGTAAGTGCCCTCATTAGTAAGGGAATTGTTTTAAAACCCGACTCGGATCGGGAACGAGAGGGTAAGGAGGTCCAAAAAGGTCAAGGGACCAAGTTTCAATTAGCCTATTGAAAATTGATGTGACCTAGTCGGTTCACCAGTCATACCAATGAACCAACTGGTTGATCTTGGCGATAAATTTTGTCTCTATTCATTTTGTGAAGTAATCTACTCCAACAATCACAAATTTTAGTTGGTCTGGTTCCAGAGGGAACAAGCCTAATATTTTCACTCCCCATTGGTAGAAATGACAGGGCGACATCATTGAGTGAAGAAGTTCAGTCGGGGCATGATGAAGAATAGTGTGTCTTTAACATTGGTTACACTTCTGAACAAAAACTATATTATCTTTTATCAGAGTAGTCAAATAGTATCCCTCCCTAGGTAATTTATGGATGAGATCCCTTATGCTAATATGACTGTTGTAAACTCCTTTATGAACTTCAGAGAGTACTAGAGTTGTTTCATGTTATCCCAGACATCATATCATTAGGTAGGCTCTCCCTATTTTATAAAGTTTTCATGCGATAAGGGTGTACATGGCACCTTATTTTTGGACCTTCATTGTTTCTCCTTCATTTAGCGATAGTTTATATTCCTGTAGGCAGCGTAATATGGGCGACATCCAAGTAGAATTAGGGATAACTTCTTGTTGGCCGGGTGTAACGCGGTGGGAGAACTTACTTGATTGTTTTGCGTTTTATCGCAAATGTTGCGGATAGCAAGAGTCGCCATCAACTTTTCTTTTATCCAATAAGGAAAGGCTGAAAAGAACATGAAAGACCTTTAGAGACGTTTTCTTGAGTTCGGGGGGTAGATTATGAAAAGGGAAGGTATTAGCACTCTTTTCATCCGTAGTTATCTACGGGCTCTTAGTTGCTTGCTAGATCACTTACTTTTCTTTGAATGTGCTTGTGGTGTGGGTTTTGAAAGTATTTTGAAAATGTATTTGCAATGGTTGTCGTTTCTATAAGAATGCGTACAAAGTGTTGTTTTGAAAATAGTTTAAAAAGGTGTTTGTGGAATGTGTTTTTGAAAGCGATTTTGAAAAGGTGTCTTTGTAATGGCTCTCATTTCTATAATAACGCATACAAAGTGTTGTCTTTTGAAAATGTTTCAAGATGAAAATGTTGGCGTATAAAATGTTTTTGTTGTGAGCAAGCGAGCAACTAGGAGTATCCTACCTACTCAAAAGGTCTTTAGTGTTCTTTTCCTCCTCCTTTAGATGTTGCTATCTTTCCATTGTTTTGGTAAGAAGCCCCATTGTTGCATGTGGAGGAAAAGAACACTAAAGACCTTTTGAGTAGGTAGGATGCTCCTATTTGCTCGCTTGCTCACAACAAAAATATTTTATACACCAACACTTTCATCTTGAAACATTTCCAAAAGACAACACTTTATATGCGTTCTTATAGAAACGAGAGCCATTACAAAGACACCTTTTCAAAATCTCTTTCAAAAACACATTCCACAAACACCTTTTTAAACTATTTTCAAAACAACACTTTTTACGCGTTCTTATAGAAACGAGAACCATTGCAAATACATTTTCAAAATACTTTCAAAACACACATCACAAGCACATTCAAACAAAAGCAAGTGATCTAGCAAGCAACTAAGAGCCCGTAGATAACTACAGATGAAAAGGGTGCTAATACCTTTCCTTTTCATAATCTACCCCCCGAACTCAAGAAAACTTCTCTAAAGGTCTTTCCTGTTCTTTTCAGCCTTTCCTTATTGGATAAAAGAAAAGTCGGTGGCGACTCTTGCTATCCACAACATTTGTGATAAAATGCAAAACAACCAAGTTAGTTCTCCCATCGTGTTACAGAACTGGCGACTCTGCTGGAAAAAAGGTTTTCAGAGATTGAAACTCTGGCTGGGAGTCATCTTATGAGAAGGATGTTGGGGAGACTTGTCACTTCCCCTAGTAGCAAGTGTTTGTGGCATTGCCAAGAAATGTTGGATTATACGTAACCTAATCAATGTCCCAAGTGATGGAGATGGTGACCTGCCCCTGGTTATTCTGCATTTCTTGAGAGATTTCTGGGAATCTTGACTTGACTGCCCCAGGTGTGCTGGATAGTGACATGTCATGCCCCCTTGTTTATAGGAGATTTGTCATTGGAAGTTTCATCCCACTTGAAGTGATTTTTTTCACTGAGAGAGCTTTCGTTCACTGGATATTCATTGTGTGAATTTCTCTTCTGTCAAACAAATAGCCATATGCAAGCAGTGATACTCAAATAATGCAAAGTTTATGCTTGTCTTAAAATTTTAAAAATGCATTTTTAGCAAGTAAAGAAATTTTGTAAGAAAATTCAACTCAGGACTTAGAGTAAAGCCTTACAGGAGTCGGGATACCTTTTGTAACAGTATGCTTTCGAACTAACCCATGCTTCAATTAGGACTTTTGAAGGGTTGTATCGTGGTTTGGTTCACGGTTTAAGAAACAAAGGATAAGTCTCAAAGTGTATTTGTACCCACCCATTCTTCGTGATATTCTTTAGTCCTAAACTCAGTTAATTATGCGTTCGATCTCCAATGATGTTTTGGTGATGGTTCATACAGGTTAAGTTTATCGGAAGGCAGTCATTTTTTTTGCAACATTTTTCATGTTGTTGAGGATTTGTAGTGACCTCTTTCTTTTGATTTGTTATCCCTAATTTTTTCCTGACTATTCTTGTTTTGAGATTACGGTCAGCGGGATACCCCAGTTCTTCTTAAGTATCCTTTGTAGGTTTTGACTTAGTGGGCTTTTCTTTTTGAGAGATAATGACTACCTATTTGGTAGGGAACCATCACTGTATTTTGATTCCAGAGGAATGTTTTTGATGTCA